TGATGTTGCTTAATGGTCTAGTCGTGAAGATTTTTGTTTCTTGTTGGAGTATAATCTGTACTGTTGTCTTTGATTTTCATCTGTTAGTGCTTCTCTTAACTTTCAGAAGCAAGTTTGTGTCATCTGCATATTTACTTCAGTTATTTTAAACTCAGAATATTCAGAGATAACCTTGTTTCACGTTTAGTCTACTGACAACATGAGAAAAGTGTCTTTACTCAATAATCTATACTCATACTATGTCAATTTCATGACACACCTTCAAACCTTTCAGATTTTCTGTGGTATATAAAGGTAGATGGCCTTTTAAAATATATGTTTTGCTTTTTGAAATTATTTTATACATCCCAGAAAAATGATCGAATAATTCTGTTACCTGTCCAAATAGTGGCACTTTTTGTTATGCTGATTTTTTTTAACAAAAAGCATAAGTCTTTGCTCAATTTTTTATTATAAACTATTGGGATATAACTGAATAACAGTTTACTTTTATCTGACACACTATTCATCAACACCTAGATATACACTTGAATCATTATTTTTCTTATTCCCACTTATTTGAAGAAAATACTTTTTAGTGTGTAGTTGTGTAAATTCAACTGTTTATTCTGCAAATGCCTTGAGTCTAATTTGTTTAGAGCATTTTTTGACAACATTTACTAACAGTTGCCATTAATTTTGACTGTTAATATTTAGCTTTATGTCGTTGTTCTGAAGTGCCGTCAATATGGTTCCGACCCATAGCAACACTGTATAGGGTTTCCAAGGGCAGCTGGTTAGCTTGAACCGCCTACCTTGAAGTTCAAATGGCTTTGCAGTCTGGCAGATTAACCCACAGCTCCACATCAGTACTCCATTTAGCTCTATAGTATTTTTTATAGTATTTAGCTCTATAGTATCTATATTTTTGTTTTTCCTTAAGGTCTTTCTTTCTCAAAAGCCCACCCCCCCATCCCTCTCTCTTCTCTTTCTCGCTCTCTTCCCTCTTTCTCTCTGTCATCATTTGTTTTGAAGTTGTGAGGCACGTCCTTGCTATGTAAAAATTTTCATTTATAGACTAGGTCCCGTGTCTTTTCCTCAATAATCGTAGAAAACGAATAACAAATACACATTCTAAAGAACATACCCTCAATAGTGCCTGTTATGTTTTATTAGTCTATACCACTTCTTTTAATTGTTAAAAACCACAAAGTCTTTTTTTGGGGAACTTAATTTTTCTTTTCTCTGATTTATGCTTATTTGTGCCTTAAGTTTTCCAATTTACTTTGAGTTTCGATACAATGCTTAAGTATTATTTCAGATCTATAATTACACAGAGACATTGAAAGGTAAATTTATCTACTTGAAGCATTGGTCTTTACATATTTTATTTTGATTTCCTAGACTTTGGTGTTTCTTCTTATAATTTTTACTACTAATAAAACTGTTTGTTTTAGTTGATTTAAACTCTTGGTTATTTTCTCCTAAACCTCTATTTTCCCATTTTCTCCTAAACCTCTCTCAGAGCAATAATATTGTTATTACTAAGTGCTGTCCAGTCAGTTCTGACTACCAAGGATCCCGTATAGGGTTTCCAAGGAGCGCTTGATGAGTTTGAACCACCAACCTTCTGGTTAGAGGGTCGATGCTGATCCTACAGCACCATACCAGGACTCTGAAATATAGGTCTCTAATGTTGGAGTTTGAATAGGCTTATAGAAGACTATTTAACATTAATTAGGATGATCTTTCTCAAATGTTTTCTTATTTAATAAGCTTAAATATTTGAGTTTAGTGATTTAAAGGAGGTCCGACTGGGTTGATTATTCAGAGACCTCAAAATTAAATTGCTTCCTATTTCAGTCTTCTTCCTTCCTTGTTAAACATAAATGTATACGTCTCCTCACAACTTTTTCATTTTCTTCTTTCAGCATTTATTTATGGAGGATTTACTATGTACTCCACCCCCTGCTAAGCACTCAGGGATACAGGGGGAACCGTGGTCATTGCCATTATGGCATTTATATGACCCCATTTATGGTTATGATTTACTCCTCATTGAAAAGTAAGGGATTCCAAGCAATGATGAAACCATTATGTGATGCCTGACCTTAACACTGTGAGCATCTCAGAAGCAGCAGCAACTGTGTCCTTACTTTCAGGATCCTCACATTATCAGACATTGCTTGCAAGGGAATTTGGAAATGCAAATCATGGAGCAAGTGGGAGCAAAAAGAAGACTTACAAAGGAGCTGTCAGTGACATAAAATCAGGGAAAACACTCAAACATATGATTCACTAGACACTGTTACTTCAGTTTACTCTTTAGAGACTATTCCTCTAGAAAATAGTCTGCATGGTTTTCTAGATGGAGACTTGATATATAGACTTCAAGCCATCACTGGAGTCCTGGTGTGATACTCTAGGATAAGCTCTGGACTGCTAACTGCAAGTTGGCAGTTCAAACCCGCCAATCCCTCCTCAGAAACCCTATATAGGATCACTCTGAGTCGGAACTGACTCAATAGCACTTAACAACCACAAAAGAAAATCACTGACAACCATCACTGGGGATGCGGTGGCTCTGAAAGATAAGCACTGGACTGCAAATCACAAGATTGGTGGTTCGAGCCTACCAGCTGCTCTGCTAGAGAAAGATGAGATTTTCTGCTCCCACAAAGTTTTATAGCTTCGGAAACCCTATACAGGGTCACTATGAATGGAAACTAACTCTAGTGTACTTAACAACAACTAAGCCATAACTCGAATAAATATAGAACAGATGTAATAGTTTATGAGCCCCTGTTCTGCTCAGCAATGGAGATGGTAACAAAAGATGACAAAAATCAGAGAAAGCATTAACCTTAATCATATATGAACAAAAACCATTGCAATGAGGTTAGAAGCAGCACTCATTGAAACTAAGTTAAGGTCTTCCTATATATTTTTAACAAAATTTAACATAAATACAGGCACACTCCAAATAAAGAGTGTTAGTGTGGCACTATAGGATAAGCAGTGGACTGCCATCTACAAGCTCAATGGTTCAAACCCACCAGCCACTCCTCGGAAAACTTTTACAGTTTCACTATGAGTTAGAACTGACTTGAGGGTCCCTTCACAACATAAAAATAGCATGGGGAAATAGAAATAATAAAATAGAAAAAAAATGGATAACTATTTTGATGTTTTACCAGTTCTTTCAGTCATGTGAGCGAGTACATTATTTAAAAAGTCAGAAAAGAAATTGCTTAAAAATTCATATGGAAAGACTAGTAATAAGGAAAGAGCTCACATTTTCTTACTGCAGAAACATCAACAAGGACCAGAAATATCAACACTTCAGAACTGAACTATTGACTTCACTCGCTGGTTTTTGCCCCATACAATGTAACTTAGAGGGCTGGGGATGAATGGCAGGTTGAGGCTGGCTCCTGCATGTGGGAGAGACTGTGACACCTTTTCTTGTGGCCTCATTCTGCATGACCTGCTTCAGACAGGCACTCTGGGCTTCTTCGCATCTGTTTTAATTACTATCAACAGGATTTTATTTAAGAGCATGCTAATTGAATTCTGTGTTCTGCTATGCAGAGGATGCTGTTTTCTCTCTGCGTCTCTGAAAAATAACATAAATGTATTGTGTTTCTGTCCCATAAATCAGTCTGACAAAATGCCTTTCAAATGCTGTAAATATTGTCTGTATAGTATCTAGGTGTGGTGAGTCTGATGTTGTACTATTCAGGTTAAACAATCAATCGATCCATAATACACCTGCCTCTCTTTCCATTTTGGTTTCAAGACATTGCAAATGCAATCAACATTGAGTAATTTGTGTAAGGGTATATACACACGGTGTGTTTACGTCTCTATGTATGTGTGTACAACAATTACATTGCCTAGTTTAATGTTTGCTCCTTGACAGAGTAAGTGCCTGTGAGTGCCTAACAAAGTGACAAGGACTCAAACTAAGCTGAATCCAGATCTGTTAAGACCAGCGCAAAGGAGACAACTTTAAACTTAAGACAAACACTTAATAGACAAACCAGATCACCTTGGATGACAGTTCTCCTTTTCACTCCAAATTCTCCTTGTCAGAAAGCACAAAAGTAATAGTGATGCATGTACTTTTCTTAATTGATAGCTAAGATTTTTCATATTTGTGGAAAATCACAGTTTATAGATAGCCTATATGAACTTGAGCCAGGGATCCTCATTTCTGGAATTTCATGTTAAAACAGAGTAGAAGGGGACTACTTATCTTGTTCCCTTTGTCTGAAGTAGAAGAGTAAAGCAGAGACTCTTACTTAAGAAGCGAAAAAGCACATTTCAACAAGCAAATAGTTTCTATTCAAAACATCAAACTATTTTGCTTTTCCTCTTCCTTTAGGATTAACTCAGTTAAAAGCCCGATGTTGGAGTAGGATTCATATGTATGGATTTCACTTTAGGAGAAGGCTTGTGAATCTTTAAAAAGAAAAGTTATAGGAATATATTAGCTGGCAAGATGCAGTTATGAAAAAGCAAGTTAAATTAACTTAGAATAGCTGGTTTTTCTTCTTGCTCTATCCTTATATATTTCCATATGTAGATTATTCAGGATATGCATATCAGGAAGCTAAGGAGTTTGCATTTTTAAAAAAGAGTAATCTTCAATGTTCTTTGTATGATTTCTTTCCACTTTCTAAATCAAATGGATTTAAAATAAAAAAATCAGATCTTTTAAATGTACAGTTTACAGTTAATATTGGTATTATCAACAACAACAACCACAAAATTCTTCAGTTACAGAAAAAAACAGTGTAAAGTCTAAAACAACCACCACCACAAAACATAAACAGAAAAGTTAGGGTAAACTAATTTTTAATAAAACATTTTTTCCCCTTGCCAACATGTTTATAAATACAAAAGATATATTTTGAGAACAAAGTATAATAAAAAATTAACTTGAAAAAAAAAAAAAAGCTTATTTCTCTGGACTGCAATATTTCAAAACACATCTAATCTTTCATTTTAATTTTTAGTTTCCTGGTTAGTTTTATGGTGGACGCCCGAGGTGGTGCTATGAGAGGATGCAGACACAATGGGCTCCGAATCATTATTCCCCCTCGGAAATGTACTGCCCCAACCCGAGTCACCTGCCGACTGGTCAAACGCCATAGACTGGCAACCATGCCTCCAATGGTGGAAGGAGAAGGCCTAGCCAGTCGCCTGATTGAAGTTGGACCTTCTGGTGCTCAGTTCCTTGGGTAAGGGTTTCTGATAAGCCTCCTACTTTGTCACGGATGAGCTTGTATCCTCTACATGAGATCTCTAGGATGGATTAGGAAAAGGTATGTCGAACCATTTTCAAAAAAGACTGGACTCAATGAATTAAAGGAAATAGCACCTCAATGATTAACTCCACCTGCATGCCTCATTTAGGGCATAAATGAGGTAAACATGCAGGTCAATTATTATTTTTCTCTTTGGATTTGTAGCTGCTAGACTTCCTCTGTGAATAACCATGACTTTACCAGTGGTAGGTATTTTTTTTTTTCCTATTGTAAGATATAAGTGGTGAAGTCATAAAGAAGTAATACTACAATGTTGTTGTTGTTGTTGTTGTTGTTACGTGCTATTGAGTCATTTACAACTCATAGAGACCCTTGTACAGGGTTTGTGAGTGCAGCTGGTGGGTTTGAACTGCTGACCTTTTGGTTCACAGTCCAGTGCTGACCCTACATCACCATACCAGGAGTCCAATATTGCACTACTCCCATGAAAATACAGTCTCATGTTATTATAAAACAAAATCATTATCTTTGCTTTGGCAATCAGTGTTGCCTTTATAGTATATCCAAAACTTCAATCTATGTGATTTTTTTTCTGTTATCAAAATTGCTATCTTGTGACTAAATTGATGTTGACGGTGTATTTACTCGCAGTTTGCAGTAAGACAACAAAATCAAGACTAATGTACTCAATGCTCATTTTAGCAATTTTGAGCAGAAGCTAGCCTTTCTCTTTCTCCTGTTTGTTTGTACGGCTGCTATTATATTGAGTGGCATCTTAACATGCCAAGAAATGAATAGCTACCGCTCAGAACTGACAAAAGGATGAAGTTGTAGAGGGGACAAGTTTCAAAATGTTTTGAAACAAATCAATTGTCTTTAAGTCTTGTCATATTGAGTCTTGATGCTTGAAAAACTGAAAGAAGGCATCTATGAATCATGAAGTCTTTTACTTTGCCAATGTCTCATCATGTATAAAATTGCTTACTTTAGAACTTAGGCAAAGTTCTAAAGCCTCCTAATTTGGAGCAAACTAACAGCTTGTTCCAAATTACGTTCACACCGGAGAGAGGGTGTGTCAGTATTTCCCAATTATAGAAAACACCTCCGTGTCCTCCTATCAGACAGCCCAGGGCTTTAGAAGGAGCCTGTGAAGTTCTGGGTTGCATCAGAAAACTCTATAATGGTTGTAGTAAGTCCCCAGAGATTCTTTTCACATTCTGCACCAGCCCCGGTCCTTCCCTCCTGCACTGGTAGTTTTAGGCTTTTGAATAATCTTCAGCTCTGTTGAGAACTATCCATGAAAACATCTGGCCTCTGTGTAGAGTCAGAGTTTTTGTTATATTCCCAACAGCTTTGTCGTTCCTATGGAGCATATATTTAATTTTTTTGTGGTTTTTTGCTAGTGCCCTGGCAGTGAAACTAAATAGGGACAGATCTGACAGCTATGAGCTCTCCTTCCACAGATGCGCCTCCATTGTACACTCTGGGTCTCGGTTCCTTGCTCTTTGTGACCAATGGAGGGGGCAGAACCAAATGCAGTGAGAAACCAAAGTTCACCCTGTTGCTCAGCTGGTGACACTGGGGTTCTGTGGAAAACCATACCTGAAGCTTACTTATGTTCTTTCTTTCACTGCTGCTTTGGATGTACTCAGTAAACTTCACCTGCCAACGGCTCCTCCCCCACTTAATGAGGGAGAAAGTTTGGTCAGCCGCATCCTTCAGCTGGGGCCTCCTGGAACCAAATTCCTTGGGTAGGAGTGACTTAAAACAAATTGATGGCTGCTGGCCCCCCATTCTTCTCCTTCTTCTGCAATATGATTTCTCTTTTTGTCATTGTGCCCATGACATGTCCCTCTCTATGATTTAAATTCTGTATAGCCTATCTTTAGTGGACCATTTCTGACCCTTGTGGTATGTGACTTTTGTTTTTGAGTGTTTTTATATCTTTTCCCTTAAAGTGCTGTGACCTTCATTTTTGTTTAAGCATGAAATCTGCCTAGTTGTACTACGTGCTAGTTCTGATGTCGTGATGATGAATTTGGAGTCTGTATCAAAGCAACCTGGACTCAAAATCAAAAGCCTCTGAACATTTTGAGGGTGAATGTAACCTGAAAAGAACAAAAGCAGGGCGGTGCATGTGCTGGATCCTGAATACAATAGGCATTGGACACAGTTGCTTTGTCTGCTGAGATGACTGGTGAGGGGCACACTGTGTACACATGCCTATTGTCTTATTGAATGATGAAAACAGAAGCAAAAATCATGAGTGCATGGTTCTGTAGTTCACAAGTAGCCAACATTTCTGATATCTCCTTGACAACATATCAAATTATGCAACATATAAGCCATTTTCCTTCATAAGCCATTTTGTCATTTTGCACCATATAGAAAATGTTGCAGAAGATTGGCACACATCATAGATCTGCATGCACATTTTTTTTTTGGTTAAATGTGATGTGCTTACATTTATCAAAGGAGACGTTCCAGAATGCCACATGCACTCACAGGGAAACATCATTTGGCTTAAGATAGCAGCATGTACCTCAGGAGGGGTGCCCCTGAAGTTGAAGTGCTACTACACAACCGTCTGCTAGCCAGTGAGCTCCAGAGGATGGCCCGCTATGTCCCTGCCCCCAGAAAGGGAAGAATTCCAGGTCACTTTGTAACAGACAGAGTTGAGGTACTTGTCTTGATGTTGGGTAACTCTTACCACAATAAATATTCTGCGTTGCTATGTCAGGCCTGTGATTGTGGAGATCCCTCACTTTGCGGCTCTTCGAGGGAAGGAGCGGGAGCTAGTGGTCCTGCGCAGTGAGAATGGCGACAGCTGGAAAGAGCATTTCTGTGAATACACTGAAGACGAGTTGAATGAAATCCTCAATGGCATGGATGAAGGTACCTTAAGGGTTTTAATGAACTCAAAAGTGGGAGCACAAACGTTACTTTGACTATGTTGCTTTCCTATGGCTGAGGGGGATGTGTGTCTATCTGTGTGTATACTTGTGGACATGTCTATCACTTTCTTTTACCGCAACAGGCATTCTGCTATGTTCCCGTGGGAATAAATGGAAGCGCGCAGCATATTTGCCTAATCTTACTTCCGTTACATTCAGGAGAATAAAATCTTTCAAGATAACAGATTTCTCATTTTAATAAGAAGAGACAGCATGCCTTGATCTTTAGTGTAAACTTTTTTTAACTGAAATTGCTACATAGAAGTGATATTGTTGTCTCATGAAATAAATTGATACTTTTGTTGTTAAGTACCGTTAAGTCAATTCTGACTGATAGGGACCCTGTACTGGGTTTCCAAGGAGCAGCTAATGAACTTGAACCACCAATCTGGCAGTTCAAACCAACCTTGCAGTCCAGCGCATTAACCCACAGCACCACACCAGGAGTCCAAATGATAAATCCATGATTTCAAAAAAAAAAAAAAACACACAACAAACGCCCAAGATACTGATACAAAATGCAAAGCTTTTCTACTGAAAAACTTATATGTTACCCATAACCCATAACTGATACATTGTAGGAAAATAAAACATATTTATAAATTTCTATGAATTGTTGTTGTTGTTAAGTGCTGTCAATAGAAGACAGGCAAACTACATTTACTTACACTTGTACCTATAATTCAAACAGTTCGTCAGGGTTGAATTTCACACACAGAGATACATTTATAGTTGAAGATCTCAGTTTCTCATTAGGGCGTTTGTTGTTGTTGTTAAGTACTGTTGAGTTGGTTCTGACTCATAGCAACCTATATAGGGTTTCTGAGGAGCAACTGGGTGGGTTTTCACTGCTTACTTTGCATTTCAAACCCACCTTGCAGTTTCAGCACTTACCCTGCAGTGCCATACCAGGACTCCTCTATAAATTCCAAATCAAGCTAGGCCCCTTAAACCACTTCACAGGTTGAAACATTTGACTTGAGAGAAGTAGCTCATTGTCAGGCCTCCATAGATTGCACACTGAAAAGGTCCTGGTCTAACACTAGGAGCCTTGTTTCCCTTTTAGTAACTGGAAAAAAATGCACTTTGCATAAATGTCAAGTGCATGTCGAGTTTTATACAGAGCTGGATGCTCAAAAACAACATAGTTGTTTAGAATGTTTACCAGTCTTCCAGACCTACTCACAGTAGTGATTCAAGTGTGACTTATGTCTGGCATCAGCCCCCTTAGCATTTCATTCTGCGTCTTATTTGAGGTCTGATGCCAAGCTTAATTTATCCAATGAGTGAATGGAGGAAAACATGCCTTCCAGATGTGTAGGTCACTATCTTTCAGTGAAGGTAAAAATAGCAGTAGCATGGTTGAGTTGATCTCTACTCAGGGTTACTCATGGCCACTGTGTGTTAGAGTACATCTATGCTCCATAGGGTTTTCAATGACTAATTTTTTAACAGTAGATTACAAGGCCTTTTTCCTGAGGTATTTTTGTGTGGATTTGAACCCAGTTAATTGTTTGCACCACCCAGGAACTCCATGCAATGTTTAGATGCTTCAAGTTCTCAGAACCGTTTCTTCTTCCAGCATTTAAGGTTAGGATATTTTCCTCTCAGATATTTACCTGTGATAGACACAGGCAAGATCATTAATGAGGACCCACTCTTGAACTTTCTATGTATATAAAAAGCTCATTTAAAATTAATAATTAGATTTATATATAATGCTTGCATATTTGGAAATGTATCCTTTTATATGTATATGCAATCATTTTCCAATACCTCAACTCTTCAATTATTTATGAGCAGATCCTGAAACATCTGTTTTCTCTACCTACTTATGCCCAACAGTCAAGAAAACCATAGTTACTGTTACTGCCTTTAAAATAAGTTATAAATGATTTCTAAATATGAACAACATCCCATATTTCCTTAAAATGTCAGTGATTCACTTAGTTCAAATTCCCTATATTTTTAAGCAACTATGATTTTTTGGCATTGCCAAGATTTATAAAGAGTCTAGGATTCCATTCTTTTTGATGTTAGATGATGGTTTGGTAAGTTAACGGTTTCAGGTAAGTATTTAAACTTTAAGTTCATAATCACTGATCTTTTTTTATCTTGACAGTTGTTATATTGGACAGCCAGCCCACTAGATCAAACACACAAACCTTGCACTTCCAAAATAAACTTTTCTATTCCTACACAATTTCCTTGAGAACCAAAAGGACCATATTACTTCTTAAAACCACAATAACTGGTCATTGAGCTATTATTGAAGTTTTAAAAGACAGGGAATGCATGAACAAGTTCCTCTTTATCACATGAACTAAGTATAGAGTAGGTTCATTTTCATTCCAGGTTTGCCCTCATACTTCCTCATTTACAAAGATGGCAGCCCTACAATATTGGAACTGGAAGCTTTTCCTTCACATTGTTGTTGTTAAGCACCTTCGAGTTGGTTTCACTCATAGTGACCCTGTATAGGTTTCTGAGGAGCCGTTGGTGAGTCTGAACCACTGACCTTGCAGTCTATTGCTTACCCTACAGTGCCACACCAGAGTCCTAGATTTCAGTACTAAAGGAAAAATGCACATGAAATACTGACAGGTCTTGAATGATTGATTTTTTAAATTATGGTATATAAATATGTAATAAAATATACACCATTTCAACATTCTTCACATGTACCTTTCAGAGATATTAATTATGTCTATAAGTGAAACTTACCAGCCGTTCTTCAGAAATACTTTACAGGGTCATTATGAGTCAGAACCAACTCGGTGGCACTTAACAACAACAAAATGTTGTTTAGCTATTATTATTGTATGTTTCTGAATTTTCTTATCACCCTAAGTATCTCCTAAGAAGTGAGCCCCCTCCCCTGCTACTCCCCACCACCACCTGGTAACCACTAATAAATGTTGGTCTCTATAAACTTGCCTACTCTAAATATTTCACATAAATGGGTTCATGAAATATTTGTCCTTTTGTGTGATTATTTTTGTGTGCCTATTTTGTGTGTTAGTGTGTGCATTTAGGATAGCCTCGCTTTCTAAATCTCTGTATTGTTTTTAAAAAAGAGTTCTTCTACTACATCTGTTCACTATGCCAATGAGGTTAAAGCTTACTAGAATGCTTTCAGAAGCACATCATTGCTATATGAAGATGGGTCATTTTTTGTCTCAGTGCTGGATAGCCCAGAAGATCTAGAAAAGAAACGAATCTGCCGCATCATCACCCGTGACTTCCCACAGTACTTTGCAGTGGTGTCTCGTGTCAAACAGGACAGTAACCTGATTGGTCCAGAAGGAGGAGTGCTCAGTAGCACAGTGGTACCCCAGGTGCAGGCTGTCTTCCCAGAGGGAGCACTAACCAAACGGATCCGTGTAGGCTTACAGGTATGCTAGTGTTGGAAGTAAATTATCTCAATTTGAATATCATTCCAGTAATTAAAATTGTCTTGTAAGTGGACAGCAAATGGTTACAAGGTCAAATTTTTCATGGTTGAGCAAAAACTGCTATTGGTGATCTTATTATGCTCATAAAGTTTTATGTGACTATTTAGTAATAGTACTAAACTTGTGCTTTCTATTTTTGAAACCCACCAAAATGAATTATGAGATAAAAAGAAATGCATTGGGTAAGAAATGTCACATTATGATACATGATTTAATTTTTCTTTTTTTAAAAAGGCTCAACCTATGCACAGTGAACTGGTTAAGAAGATCTTAGGCAACAAAGCTACCTTCAGCCCTATAGTCACTTTGGAACCTAGAAGAAGAAAATTCCACAAGCCAATTACCATGACCATTCCTGTACCCAAAGCTGCAAGTGATGTCATGTTGAATGGTTTTGGGGGTGATGCACCAACCTTAAGATTACTATGCAGTATAACAGGTAAGTCACATATATCTGTCAGTAGAAAGTACTGAAAGAAGAAGCTAAAATAATTGTAGATATTAAATTACATCTGTCCTACAATGCCTACACAGATATATTTATTAATGTGGGAATTCATGAATTCTAATTAACTAGAGAACTGTAAGATGAAAAGAAATAAATTAATATTTACTAAATAAACTCTTCATGCCAAACATTGGATATTTTGTATACATTGTATTTTTAACCTTCATAATTATGCCATAAACAGATGTTAACCTAGTTTTGCTGTTAAGAAAGCCAAGGTTGAAGGAAGTCTTTATACCATGAGAATTTGGCAGAGTTGAAACTCAAATTCAAGTACATATGCTCATAATTCCAAGTCCAGGCTTCAAGTCATCATTAAAGAAGCTGTCTTTAAGCCAAACCTGTCTTTCGGGGATTTGGCTATGTCTTGACTAATTGAACTCACTTTAGAAAGACAAAGTAAATATGTTTAATAATTAACTCATATTTGATCTTTTCAATTGGTAGTTATAGTAGCTTGCAGGCAACTACCAGACTCTAGAAAGGCATTCCCAGAACATTGGTTGTCTGCGTAATACCGCACATCATGGGAGATAAAAAATACACACTGCTTTTGTTGTTGTTTTTAAGTTAGTTCTAACCCACAGTGACCTTGTATAGGGTTTCCAAGGAGTGGATGGTGAGCTTGAACTGCCTACCTTGAGGTTTAAATTGACTTTGCAGTTCAGTGCACTAACCCCTAGTGCCACACCTCACAGTGCTTTGTTGTTGTTGTTGTTGTTGTTAATTGCTGTAGAATCAGTTCCTACCCATAACAATCCTCTATAGGGTTTCTGAGGAGCATCTGGTGAGCTTGACCACTGACCTTCAGTTCAAACCAACTTTGCAATCCAGCGAATCAACTCACATGTCCCAATTTAACAATAGCTGCATGGTTTGGAATTCAGTAAATATTCATACTGTTGTTGATAGGAATAATAACCGTCTTTGGTTATTTCTATATCCTTAGGTTGTATTTTTTTTTAATGTCTCCTTTGCACAGGCAGAAATGTTCACCCTGTTGTATTACTGTTTTTATAATTCTCCCCTCATTACTGCATAAATACAAGGGGAAGAAAAAGGGAGATTTTTATCCCATAAATTTAATGATATGACAGCATATATGAACTAAAATGAGTATAGGGTGAATCACATGATTTATTGATGATCTCATTCACACTTGTTCATTCCTGATTATCACCTAGCATTCCTTAGCTGTCTTTCTCATAGTGTTTGATCCATGGGTGTATTATCCCTTCTATAAGGTACAATGGATTCCTGGTGTGGTGCTGTATGGTAGCTACTGAACTACTAACCACAAAGTTGGTGGTTCACACCCACCAGCTGCTCTTTGGAAACCTTATGCAGGGTCACTATGAGTCAATGACACTTAGCAACAACAACATGATGTATAATACAGAAGCACAAAAGTCAATCCTTGTCCTTGTAGCTTATCAGTGAAGACACTCAAAAGGTGTAGACATAGTCTGATCCATTTATGGAGACCTGGTGTGGCACTGTAGGATAAGCACAGGACTTCAAGGTCTGTTTGAACCAAAAGATTGGAAGTTCAAATCCACCAGCCACTCTTTGGAAACCCTATACAGGGTTGCTATAAATCGGAACCAACTAGATAACACAACAATAATATGTTTTAATATGGGTTTGAACTAAACAATTCCCTAAATTGATTTCTTTTTAAAAAACATAATTTTTTGTATATATTTTGCTTATGTTATATTATGTAGTAGGGGTCTTGGTAGCATAGTAGTTACATGTTAGGCTGCTAACCAAAAGGTCAGCAGTTTGAGTCTACCAGTTGCTCTGTGAAAGAAAGATGAGATTTTCTGTTCCCATAAACATTTACAGCCTCGGAAACTATGCAGGGTCACTATGAGCCAGAATCGACTCAAGGGCACACAACTACCACCCACCACCATAATACATAGTTCTGCTAAGAATATATATTTTAAAGGTTTAATAAGTAAGCTTCTTGACTGTTTAGAACTCATTCCATTCTTAAAGAAACTTTAGAGGTTTTTAAAATCTCAACATATATTCCTCCTACAGCACTTTATTTCAATATTCTCCTCCAACACCACAACTCAAAAACATCAATTCTTCTACGGTCTTCCTTATTCATTGTCCAGCTTTTGCATGCATATGAGGTTATTGAAAACACCATGGCTTGGGTCAGGCACACCTCAAGCTGACATCTTTGCTCTTCAACACTTTCAAAAGGTCTTGTGCCGCAGATTTGCCTAATGCAATAAGTTGTTTGATTTCTTGACTTCTGCTTCAATGAGTGTTGATAGTTGATCCAAGAAGAATGAAGTCCTTGATAACTTCAATCTTTTTTCCGTTGATAAGAATGTTGTTTATTGGTCCAGTGGTGAGGATTTTTGTTTTCTTTACATTGAGATGTTATCCATACCAAACGCTGTGCTCTTGGAGGAGAATATTGAAAGTGCCATGGGCTGCCCATAGAACCAACAGATCTGTGTTGGAAGAAACGCAGCCAGAGTGCTGCTTGGAGGCCAAGATGGCCAAACTTCATCTCTCGTACTTCGGACATGTTGTCAGGAGGGACTAGTCACTGGAAAATGATATGTTTGGTAAGGTGGAGGGTCATAGAAAAAGAGGAAGACCCCCAATGAGATGGATTGGCCAGGTGGCAGCATCGATGGACTCAAGCGTGACAACAGTAGTGAGGTTGGCCCAGGATCGGGCAGTGTTTTGTTCTGCTGTGCATAGGGTCACTATGAGTCGGTACTGACTCAATGGCACCTAACAACAACAACAGCAACAACAACAGTACTTTATGACTGTTTTTTGGTATGTTTGTTTGTTTTCCCTTACCTATGTCAATTTAATTTCTCAGTAGCTATGGAAGGTAAGTAGTCATTGTAAGTCTTATTTGGGTATAGAGACCGTCCTCTGATACTCATTTATTTATTCCTTCAGCCTGCAGTATTTACTCTTTTTCTGATATTTTCCAACATTTCTTTTTTGCCAGCTTTGTGAGCTAATGCGCTAGACTGAATGGTTGGTTTCAACTGCAAGGTTGGTGGTTCAAACTCACCAGCCACTCCTCAGAAATCCTATACAGGGTCACTATAAGTTGGAATCGACTCAATGGCACTCACCAACAATTATAAATTGAGGAGAAATAATTTTATGATAATAATTACATAAACTATGAAGTTCAAGAATATTTGAATTACCTATTATTTCAACCAAGTGTTCATTTCCTTGACTGGTCAAAGGATCTTTTAAATCAATCAACTACATACAATTCAACATTGTCTTCAGGACTTGGCCATTATAATTAAGATTTCAGAATGTCAGGCCAGAGTAGAAATACAACCTCCTTTCAATGTAGTTCCTTGAGAGGTGGTATCTGCTGTTTTCAGTGCCATTTTTGAGCATGTTATTATTGTGAAGTGCTGTTACTCATTCTTACTTAACATGTAGCTTTTAGTCATTTTGTTTTCAATGTGTCATTTTGAAGGGTGGGTGGGGATACACTGGTGAGCACAGCTGAAACTGCAAAGGCATTATTTTACATTCCAGATTCTGGAGATTTGCCTGATTTTTTTCAACAATTGTATTTTTTCAGGTGGAACCACCCCTGCTCAGTGGGAAGATATTACAGGAACTACGCCATTAACATTTATCAATGAGTGTGTTTCCTTTACAACCAACGTGTCTGCCAGGTATGGTAATACAGCATGAAAGAGCCCGCTCCCCCTGTCTCTCACCCCCCAACCCCCCCAACACAAAAACTGTCTTATTTGTTGTTTTATTTTTTCTTAACGTCTTTAAAAGTGAGTTTTGAGTTTGATTTTAAGTGTGGTCTGGATTTGTTTCGTATTTTAAATTAGTTTTTCTGACAAATATAATAACAACGATACAATACCAAAGTGCAATCAATTTGGTATCTTTTAAAGAAAATAAGTGAGTAGTGTGTGTGTGCGCTTTGCCTTCATGACTTTACCTCTGGCACTAGCAGCCACCCACTGGTTTTTCCAGTCCTCCAGGTCTTATGCCTGATGCATTTCCTGCTCTAAACGAAATGACCTGGACTACTTTTTTCAGTAGAGTGATAACAGAAAACAAAGTCTACCATGAATTGCTTAAGGAGCTCTGGTAGCATAGTGGTTATGAGTCGGGCTGCTAACTTCAAGGTCAGCAGTTCAAAACTACCAGCTGTTCCACCAGAGAAAAATAAGGCTTTCTGCTCCCATAAAGATTTACAGCCTCGGAAACCCTATGTAGGGTTACTATGAGTCAGAACTGACTCCACGGCATACCACCTTCACCACCATGAATTGCTTAACTGGTTTGGAGACTTCAGTGGTTCTTAGGCATCCTAATACATTTGAGTAATAGGTCATAATTGAAATTACCCATGTATGTACTATACATGTTTAGGAAGTTGAAACTGTGTTGTTTTATTTCAAATGCAAGCAGCAACTTAATTTATTAATACTATCTCCCATTTGTTTGTTTTTTAATTGATTGCTAAGCATTTCAATATTATTTGACTTGATAACTATAACTTTATGACTTAAGTAGGACAGGATACATTTTGCTCATTTTGCAAATGAGAAAACAAAAGTTCATTAACAATGATGAAAGCTTAAATTCCTACTTGGAGAAATGATAAAAATGCATGATTAGTTAAATAATGTACAACAATAGCTGGGTGTGGCTGCAGGTGTTTGTAGTTCATTCCCCCCCCACCAAAAGGCTCAGCCATTTAGTCTGTGATTCTGTACTTCCCTGCATAATGCAACAGAAAGGGGACACTAAAAAAGTCACAGATGTGTGGTCACATTGGAGGAGTTCAGCAAAGAGGTGACTCTTGAAAAATATGTGGGAACCCAGTAGAAAATTTAAAGTGGGGAAGAGAGTTTCATGAACAGAGATGCAGAGATCACATGTAAAAGGTGTATTGAGGGACAGCAGGAATGCTCCATGTAGTCTAAAATTCAGAATGCTGAACTAGCCTTTGACAGCAGTATCTATGGAAGTCCTTGTAAATTAGATCAAGATGTGAGGAGTTGTCATGTTATTGTAATAGCAATGTAACTTCCTCAGACAATTGAAAAATATAAATAAATGAACCAATAGAAAGAAGGTAATATTTTACTGAGTTTCTGCCATGAACCAGGAATTATATACAGAGGGTGCAATCAGGAACATAGGTCAGTGTCTGAACTCGTAGAGTGTATAGCCTAATTTGTAAGTAATAATAAATAGGACTCTTGGTGTGGCACTGTAGGATCAGCACCAGACTGTGAACCACAAGATTGGCAGTCCAAACCCACCAACTGCTCTTTGGAAACCCTATAAAGCTTTCCGATGAGAGATTAGGGTCACCATGAGTTGGAACTGACTCGATGGCACTTAACAACAACAATAATAAAGTACTGATATTGTGAAGGGAGATGTGATCCTAATCTATGGCCATGACAATGGGATGGAAAGTTAAGGATCTGGTTTTATTAGAAAATTTAGAAGCATATTTTAGCAGCATTTTACGAACAAATAGATATGTGTAAGAGAAGAGTTCTAGTTGAAATTTTAAGCCATGGAAGGATCATGAAGCTATATACTTTACTAAGGAATACATAAAGTGGATCCAATTTGGGAGGAAAGTGGGTAGTTGAGCAACAGGGAAAGTAGCCTTCATTGCTGAATTGTTGAGTGTGAATTGGTTTTCCTATGGCTCAACCAATTAGTGCCAGCTAATAAAACTGCTGATAATGGTGTACTGAAGTTAGTTCACACATGCTCATGAAAGGTGATTATATTTATCTTTACGCAACATCAGCCATGATGAAAGCATTTATACTATGGAAATTAACAAATGCCACTGAAATATGGCTTCTTCTCTGGAGAACCAATTGTGAAACATTTACCAGCACAAAATTGGATTTACCTGGCTTATGAGATCATATGTAGTTATGGATTTAACAGTCAACAGAATATATAGGTAAAATATGGATAAAAAGGAGATTTTTTTTTTCATAAAAAAAGAAAAAAAAAACTTTAATGAGAAGAGGAATTCTCAATGCTAGCATCTGAAAGGAAAGTAGAAAACGAGAAATCAAGATTGAAATAATCTGTGAGACAGAAAAGAGGAGAGTGGGAGAAAATAGTGTTGTGGACTAGAGATTTTCAATATGGACATTAGTTAAACATCAAATATTGTAGAGGCTAACTAGACTAAAAACTTCCAAGAGGCCATTTGACTTGACAAATAGGACATCCTTGGTGTAGTCTGGGAGAATAATTTAAGTACAATGGAAGTGACTTATACCAGACTTGAGAAATAAATACAAGATGAAAAAAAATTGGAAGCAGTGAGTGTTGGATTTTTCATGTTAAAAGGATGATGGAAAGATCAGGAATTTGAAGGAAAAAGAAGATGAGAGATTAGGAAAACTTGAGGACTATTTAAAGACTATGGGAAATGAGGCAGGGGAAGGAGAGAAAGTACTGATAAAGGGTTTCCAAAACAAGAAGAGATGGAATCAACCTTTAGAAGTATTATAGATTAGGAAGCTTCAAAGTTCTTGGGAAAATGGAATTGAAAGATACGGAAAGTTTTCCAAGAACTTTTCGAAGTACCTTCAAGCAAGTTGAAAATATTCCATTTTATGGTCTCCATGTCGACAGCAAAGTTATTCTTCTTAGGGCCTGAGTTAAAGATGGACTTGTGATTGTTGTAAAAGTTTAGCAGCACTACTGCATTGAATAAAGGATACATGAGAAAAAAGTTGCCTAACAATGTGACAGATTTTGCTGAGACTACAAATCATAAATTAATCACGGAGCTAGTAATTTCTTCTATGAATTGTATTCAATGATGCTTATCGGATCTGAAACAGAAGCATATTTTATTGACTATGTTTTTCAACTTGTACACTGGCAAGTTCCTCAGTAATGAATAACAAGATTAGGAAAATCTAATTAAGTTTGTTGAAATTAAACAAAAAAATAGGAGGGGAAGTCAATGAAAATAGAGATTGATAGTGAAATACTTTTTATCATGTCTGATAGTTATTCTTAACAATTAAATGCATCTGTAAGATTTAACAAGATTGACTACTTGGAAGTTTCTAATAAAGAAAACTATATGTATAATATTCAATAGTTGATCTTAAAAAGCTGGCAAATCTTTCTCTATTCCCCTCACTCCTTTACTTCTCTTCTAGCCTCCTATCTTTCTTCTCCTCCCTGACTTTCTTATTTTATCCCTTTTCCTTTTTCATATTACTTCCTTTTCTCTCCCCTCCTTTTTTTTTTTCCACAAAGACTCTGATGATGAAACTGATTTGTTTTGTGTTTTTTTTTTTTTTAAAAAAAAAAAAACACCTGGGATTGAATACTTTAAAATTTCGACCACTGACTTTCTTTTATTTTATAGGTTCTGGTTGATAGATTGTCGACAGATCCAGGAATCCGTTACCTTTGCATCACAAGTGTATAGAGAGATTATCTGTGTGCCCTATATGGCCAAATTTGTAGTGTTTGCCAAATCACATGACCCCATTGAAGCTAGGTTGAGATGTTTCTGCATGACTGATGATAAAGTGGATAAGACCCTTGAACAGCAAGAAAACTTTGCTGAGGTGGCCAGAAGCAGGGATGTGGAGGTACTGTATTTTCAAAGCAAAACACATTTATGCTTACATGTTGTTTATACCTTTATTAACTTGTTATATTAAAAGTAGAGTTTGATAGAGTTATTTTAAAAATGAGAGATTCTATTAACTGATAGTACATGAAGTGGATTGTAATCATTGTAATGACATGAAGTGTATGATTTGTTGAATGTGGAAACGATAATCTGTTCTTTAAACCTTCACTCAATTCACAATAAAAATTAAAAAAAAAAAGAGAGAGCGAGAGAGAAGTGTACATCTTTATCAATTAGAATGTTCCAAATCAACCATTTTTAACCAGTTTGAATTGATCCTATAGGGATAGTCTCAGTATATGTGAGGTGGTAAAACCATTTTTTAAAAGATTATTTTGGAAGAAATTATGAATTATTGTTAAACTCAAAGTATGTAAGTGATGATAGCAATTTTGGTTTATATTTGCTCATTGTTCTTATTTTTTAAGGGTAAAGAAAATGGTCCAGGATGAATGTTTTGTGATTAAATGTAGAATCATGATGTGCAGGGCTTTCCTACATTACCTTTTCTTATCTCAAAGTGTTCTATTTATATAGGCCTTTGGAGTCAAGTAATCTGACTCATTATGATGTTAAAAGTTGTCCATTAAGGATATATATATATATATAATCACCTTTGTGGGATAATATCCAAAATGATATTATTAGAAATAAGAACATTAAATGCCTCCATATATTTGGCTTCTGGTGTGGCTCTGTAGGAAAGCACTGGTTGCTGTCCACACCTCCCAGTCACTTCTCAGAAACCCTGAACAGGATCATGATGAGTCGGAACAGACTTTATGGCACTTAACAGCAACAACATATATCTGATGATTCTTATTTCAAATAAGATGGAGTATTGATAAATGCTTTGTCTCACATATGATAAAATGTCAGTGTGTGATTTAAGGATTATCACATGTACATTTCAAAAATTTAGAAATTCCTAGTAGTATCTCTGGAATCCTGGTGTTTTGCTGTAAGATAAGCACTGACTGCTAACCACAGGGTTTGCAGTTCAATCCCACCAGCTGCTCCGTGGGAACCTTATACAGGGTCACTGTGTGTCAGAACCCGCTCCATGACACTTAACAACAGTAATACCTATACTACTTATTTGTTTAAATAATTTATAATTGCATCTATTGTACTCTGTATTCATTTTTCACTCAGGTATTAGAAGGAAAGCCCATCTATGTTGACTGTTTTGGCAACCTGGTACCATTAACCAAGAGTGGCCAACATCATATATTCAGTTTTTTTGCCTTTAAAGAAAACAGACTTCCTCTCTTTGTCAAGGTAATATATACATGGAGTTTTATAATGCTTTTTCATAGTCTTGACTTGCCTGTGATTTCCTGAATCTGTGAACTAAGGATTGAAATAAAAGTACCATAAGGTTAGTGGTTCAAACCCTTCAGTTGCTCCATAGGAGGAAGATGAGAGTGTCTTCTCACATACAGATTTAAAGTCTAGGTTGCTACAAGTTAGAATCCACTTGATAGCAGTGGGCTTGGTTTTGGATTAGTATGCTTCATAAGAACTTAACTGGGTGAAATGATTACCATTGTGATTTACAGTTTTAATATACAAGGGGGCTTCAAAATATTTGTGGAAAATGAAATTGAAAGATAATGGAATTTTTTTGGTAAAAAATTTTAAGCTTCCTCATACTTGAGAATCATATATTGCATCCCTTTTGTGGCTGTGAGTACATAATTTTCTTTAATTCTTGTCAAAACAAGGAATTTAGGTTAGTTGCTGTTTTTTAACAGAGTTTCAGTAATTCTTTATAACCAATCAATGGGCTCAAGCATGGCAACAATAGTGAGGTTGGCCCAGGATCGGGCAGTGTTTCGTTCTGCTGTGCATAAGGTCGCTGTGAGTTGGTACCGACTCAATGGCACCTAACAACAACAACAATTTGTTCAGGGGGAAAAAAACAACAGCAGGATTCTTGTATAAGTTTGTCCAGGCATGTGTTTGAGAATCTCTTTTTATTAAGTCTTGACAGGTCTCTGTTGAGTATTTCAATTTGCCCCTTCCAGTTAGATTATTTCACCTGAAGATACATTTTAACAGGATGCCACATTAAACACTAACTATTGGGGTAATGCACCCATTTAATGCAAATACCTGTATAATTAAGCTTATATTTGATGTTGATTTGCAAAAGTCATTTTAAATGGTGATAACAGAGAAACAAAAGGAATCCTTACTTAACATTAGCAAATGGATTTTATTTTGCCTAATTTGAACATCATCTCATTAATAAAGGTTGTTGTTGTTCTTGTTAAGTGCTGTCGAGTCAATTCTGACCCATAGCAACTGTGTATAGGGTTTCCAAGGAGCAGCTGGTGAACTTGAACCACTGACCTTGCAGTTCAAATGACGTTGCAGTTTGATGCATTAGCCCACAGCTCCACACAAATATAGGCAGGATGCGTCAAATAAGTAGTGTGAGACAAAGTCAAGTATTATAATGAAATGTGTGGAGACCTGGAGTTAGAAAACCAAAAGGGAAGAACATGCTTAGCATTTCTTAAGCTGAAAGAACTGACGGTAAATTCAAGCCTTGACTTGCAATATTGAAGGATTCTATGGGTAAAATGGAGCCCTGGTATGGCACTGTGGGCTAATTCGTCAAACTGCAAAGTCATTTGAACTGCAAGTTCAGTGGTTCAAGCCCACCAACTGCTCCTTGAAAACCCTATACAGGGTCACTATGGGTCAGAATCAACTCGATGGCCCTTAACAACAACAAATGATTAAAATATTGAATGATGCAAAAAGCATCAAAAGAAGATGGAAGGTCTGTGTTCAACCATTTCAAGAGATAGCATATGATCAAGAACCAGTGATACTTAAGGAAGAAGTCCAAGATACATTGAAGGCATTGGCAAAGAACAAGGCACCAGAAATTGGTGGGACACAGATTGAAATCTTTCAACAAAATGATGCAACACTGGAAGCATTCACTAATGTATGCCAAGAAATTGAGAAGACAGCTACCTGGCCAACTAATTGTAAGACATCCACATTTGTTCCCATTCCAATGAAAGGTGACAAAATGGAATGCAGAAAGCATCAAACAATATTATTAATGTCACTTGTAAGTAAAATTTAGCTGAAGATAATTAAAAAACTAATGCGACAGTATATTTACAAGGAACTAGTGTAGTGGTTACGAATTGGGCTGTGGACCACAAGGTCAGCAGTTCGAAACTACCCGCTGTTCCGCAGGAGAAAGATGAGGCGTTCTGCTCCCATAAAGGTTTACAGCCTCGGAAACCCAGGGTCACTATGAGTCGGAATTGACTCCATGGCACATAACAACAACAACAACAACAGAGGTTCCATCCAGATTTAGATGAGGATGTGGAATGAAGGATATTGGCTGTAAACAGAATACCAGAGAGATGTTTACTTGTGCTTTATTGACTATGCAAAGGCTTTTGACTGTGTGGATCATGACAAACTCTGGATAACATTGTGAAGAATGGGTACTCCAGAACACTTAATTGTGCTCATTAGGAACCTGTACTTAGACCAAGAGGGAGTCATTTGAACAGATCAAGGGCATACTAAGTCATTTAAAATCAGGAGAGGACTATACCAGGGTTGCATTCTTTCACTGCTTATTCAGTCTGTATGCTGAGCAAATAATCTGAGACACTGGATTATAAAAAGAAGAATATAGCATCAGGTTTGGAGGAAGACTCATTAATAGCCTGTTATATGCAATGATACAACCTTGCTTGCTGAAAGTGAAGAGGACTTAAAATATTTACTGATGAAGATCAAAGAGCACAGCCTTACGTATGGATTACAACTCAATGTAAAGAAAACAAAAATCCTCACCACTGGACCAATAAACAGCATTCTTATCAATGGAGAAGAGATTGAGGTTGTCAAGGACTTCATTCTTCTTGGATCAACTATCAACACTCGCGGAAGCAGCAGTCAAGAGATCAGACGATGTATTGCATCGGGCAAATCTGCTGCACAGGAACTTTTTAAAGTATTGAAGAGCAGAGATGTCAGCTTGAGGACTAAGGTGCGCCTGACCCAAGCCGTGGTATTTTCAATAACCTCATATGGATGCGAAAGCTGGACAGTGAATAAGGAAGATCGTAGAAGAATTGATGCCTTTGAGTTGTGGTGTTGGAGGAGAATACTGAAAGTGTCATGGACTGCCAAAAGAACCAATAGATCTGTTTTGGAAGAAGTGCAACCAGAGTGCTCCTTGGAGGCCAGGATGGCTAGGCTTCATCTCTCATACTTTGGACACATTGTCCGGAGAGAACAGTTGCTGGAGAAGGATGTCATGCTGGGTAAGGTGGAGGGTCAGAGAAAAAGAGGAAGACCCCCAACGAGATGGATCAGCCAGGTGACATCATTGATGGCGTCAAGTGTGGCGGCGATAGTGAAGTTGGCCCAGGATCGGACATTGTTTTGTTCTGCTGTGCATGGGGTCGCTATGAGTCGGTTCCAACTCGATGGCACCTGACAACAACATATGCAAATGATACAAACTTGCTTGCTAAAAGTGAAGAAAACTTAAAATACTCCCTGATGAAGATCAAGACCACAACCTTCAGTATGGGTTGTACCTCAATGTAAAGCGAACAAAAACTCTTACCACTGGGCCAATAAATAACATCATGATAAATAGAGATTGAAGTTTTCAAAGACTTCATTTTGCTTGTATCTACTTTCAACAATCATTGAAGCAGCACTCAAGAAATCAAAAGATATGGCGCATTAGGCAAATCTGCTGCACGAGACCTCTTTAAAGTGTTCAAGAGCAAAAATGACAGTCTGAGGACTAACTGTAATTTTCAATAGGCAAAGTTGACCCAAGCCATGTTATTTTCAGTAGTCAAAGTTGGACAGTAATTAAGGAAGACCATAGAAGAATTGATGCATTTGAGTTTTGGTGTTGTAGAATGTGAAAAGTGCCATGGACTGCCAGAAGAACTAACAAATCTATGTTGGAAAAAGTACAGCCAGAATGCTCCTTGAAGCCAGGATTGTGAGACTTTGTCTCTTTTACTTCGGACATATAATTAGGAGTCACCAGTCCCTGGAGAGAAGGACATTACTAGCTAAAGTGGAGAGTCAGCAAAAAAAGGGAAGACATCCAACAAGATGGGTTGGCACAGCACCAATAGGCTCAAGTGTAACCACAATTGTGAGGATGGTGTAAGACAGAGCAGTGCTTTATTCTGTTGTGCAGAGGGTCTCTGTGAGTCGGAACTGATTGAATAGCACCTAACATGTGTCAGATAACTGGTGAATATGTCTTATCTTTCTTGTTCAAGGTACGTGATACAACTCAGGAACCTTGTGGACGACTGTCATTTATGAAGGAGCCAAAATCCACAAGAGGTCTGGTGCATCAAGCTATTTGCAACTTAAACATCACTCTACCAATTTATATGAAGGTATTGTAAAGTCTGCTGTACTGCAGTTCAGGCTGTGTAGGATTTTATTTTCGTGAGCTTCTTAAAAATAAAGCAAAGACACTAAATGGGACCTCACATACCAATTTTTTTATTTATAATGAAATTCATGACTTCAACTGAAGATAGGACAATAGGATAATATTTCCATTATATGCAAATTTCTATAAATACATGGGAGAGGAAAAACTGGGTATAAATTTTAAGGTTTTCCACAGTTATTTAATATAGAAGAATTGCCTTTTTTTTTTCTTTATCATTATTTGCTGTTTGTTTGACCCTACCGATATGCTCTTAGTCCATTTGCTTCTACTTCCTTCTGATTCACAGATAATACAGATAGATTATGTATTGTTGAATTAATTCTAAGTAATCTCATGATATTTTATTTTGCTAAAATAATGACCTGTTCATGTTATAACCTACAATATTTTAAGAATATAAAATTAATTTTTCAAAAATTTTAACATGTTTAGTATACAAAAATGTTTTCATTTTACAAGGACTAGATTTTAAACATTGCTTTTTGAGGACAAATTCATTCACTTTTGCTGCAAAGTATACTTATAAATGTTTCTGTCCAAATCCTTCTCAGCTATAGAATTCCTTGAGTATGGTGAGCAAATCAAGGAGGAAAACTGAATTAAATAAACATTGTTTATAACCTTATTAGTACTATTTTTTAAAAACCAATATCCCTTTTTAATAGAAGATTCCCCCATGGCTACCTATAGGTTGCATCATGTTGTAGTATGTGCATTGGAGTTAGCTGAGGGGGCTCATGTGTGGTGACAGGTAAGAGCTGGAGAGGGGAAGTAAGGTTATATTTAAATCCCTAAATCCTGATCCCACAAAACAACGACCTTCCTATTCTTCTTATAAAATTGCCTATTTTGCTTCATTAATTGTATTGGTAGATAGTGGTCAATGATTTGGAGAAAAGTTCGTTACATCATGCTTGACATTGCAAATTCTTACTGAATGGTAAAAATGAAAGGACATATTATCTGAGTATAAATACATGTGTTATTCCAAGAATTAGAAGGCAGTAATAGATACATCTACCCAAACAAGAGAATCCAGCTTTACTCTGATGGTTCAGAAAATACTTTGAAGTTTATAGAGCGGTTCAATTGTGAGTCATATAATATATGAGAATATAAAATAAGACCCACAAACAAACATGCTTTGCTGTGAGCAGGACACCTGAGTAGTATATAAAGATGAATAGCTTGGTCTCTGACCTCAGTGAGTTTTCAGTATGTTATAAAAGGAAGCAATGACTTTATTTATCAATATAGTTAATTTGCAAGTCAAGGCGTATCACACACAGACAAAGCTCTGACAGTTTTCCTTTTAGTAACTAAAAAACACAAAACAAAAAAAGAATACAGAAAAATGCTGAACATTATATGCTTCAGATCTGTTTTAAGATTCAGTAAGTACTCTTTACTAAAATAGAAAGGAGTCCCTAGGTGGCACAATCAGTCAAGCACTATAAGCTGAAAGGCTGGTGGTTCTAACCCCCCCACAGGCACCTTGGAAGACAGGCCTGGAAGTCTGCTTCCGAACGGTGACAGCCTTGAAAATCCTGTAGAGCAGTTCTGCTTTGCACACATGGGGTCACCATGAGTTGTGTCATCTCAACAGCAAGTAACAATAACAGCATCAACATTGCCGTAAAGCTCCTAATTATTGCCCATATATTGAACATGGTTTTACTATATGCTTACTTGTACCTCTTAACATTTTCAGTCAAATCTACAATGAGTGGGATGTCATCATCACCGTTTCTATTGTACAAGTGTATACGTGCCATCCAATTAATTAAATGTCAAATGTTGGGGCTCCTGGTGACCTTGTATCTGGAATTAGTATACGATTTTTGTTCTTATATCTTGAATCTACAGTCTTTTTCATTTATATCAATCCTCTTTAATGGCTCTGCCTTTCAAGCTGTTAATATGAAAAAACAAACAAGAAAACGCTAATTTTACATATATATATGCTTGCCTGTTGACATTTGTTGGCATTGTTTACTCTTTTCTTATAAATATTCTCCACTATTCTGGCTCTCTTTTTTCCATCTTGCATGGCATCTTGGGGCGGCAAGGAGTCAGAGTCAGATCAAGAACAGGAAGAAGAGGTAATTTTACCAAAGTGCCACTTGTTAATGGCTGTGTCACAGCTGTAGCCACTAATAAAAACACAGATTTCACCTGTATTCTTAGCAGGATTACCCAATTGTTCTTAGCAATTAAAGGGTCACAACTTTACGTAACCTCTCTGAGCCTCTGTTTTCTTATCTGTGGACCACTGACTTCAGAGTATAATAGTTTCCCTGTAAATTGCTGTCCTTGTCTTTATGCAATAATATATATTTCTAGATCAAGTCATGGAGGTCAAACCATTAACTCCGCAGTTCTTAAAGGTTGGTCTGGGGACCTGTTGAGGTCAAAACAATTTTTACAATAGTTGTTGTTAAGTGCCATCACGTCAGTTCCAACTCATCGCGACCCTGTATATGGTTTCCAAGGAGCAGTATTAAGATATTATTTGCCTTTTCAATATTAGTTTTTAACAATGAGAAAATTTCACTAAATGGTGTTTTCCAGAAGCTACATTACCTATAATAATATTACTTGAATGTGATATTATATATCTAATAATATTAATAAAATCAATATTAAAAATACTAATATGCTTAATAATTTGAATATGCTTCTATTCCTGGGTTCTAGGATCTTCTCAGCTTTAATTTATCTTATGTATATAAACCAAAGTTCTCTGGATTCCTCAGCACTTTGTAGGAGCACAAATGAGTCCTTTATGGTGCCATAGGATAGGCACCGGACTGAAAACCACAAGGTCAGCAGTTCAAACCCACCAACTGCCCTTGGAAACTCTATAAAGGGTCTCTATGAGTCGAAACTGATACAATGGTACAAAACAACCACCACCACCAAGGGGTCCTAAGACCAAAAAGTTTAAGAAACAATCAGACCGAAAAATACCATAATTCATATAGTTTGTCATTAAGCTATAATAACATTACAGCATAGAAGAACTACACTAATAATGAGCACTGGGTATAAGATAGAATCTTTCTAAAGTGCTCTGTATAACTCATCAGCACCGGTCTCTGATTACAACCGTATGGAGCTATTATTGCCCTCTTCATAGATGAAGAAATAAGTCTTAGAGAGGTGACCCTAAACAAATAGTCATTTGAACTATACTTGCTTCAATATTTAAAGCAAATATGTGTTTTATGTTCCATATAAAGATCTGGAAATGCCTAAATATTATATAATAAATAAAGAATTATTTGAAATGTCCATATACTTACCTAGTAGTAATCAGTTTGTACTTCTAACATAAACAAAGACTTGTACTTAAATGTTGTCAAATATACTAGCTTCTTTTTTTAAATGTTTTTTTGATTCATGTAAAATATAAAAAAATTAAGAGAAGTATAGTACATATATTTTTACCCACTAACCAGCTTAAAATATAAGGCATTATTAATTCAGAGAAAACCTCTGAATTCACTTTTACTGGTATCTCGACCTGCGGTTAGAACAAAGTGTGTGTGAGGAGAGGATTTAGAGACCCATGGCCTTCTGTATTTAGTCATATGCTCAATAAACTATGACAAGGCTGAAGTCATTCTTCCTCTCAACTGTACAGTCCCTCTTTGTCTGAAATACTCAATTTCCTTCCTGTACTATGTGACTGTGTCACCAAAGCTGTTAAAATGCTAACTGCCTACCTACTTGGAAGAGCAGTATATTTATGAAAACACTTAGCTGTGCTCCCAAATGATTTTTTATCATTGATCTGATTATTTTTCTATTGAATCTTGTCAGGAAACACTCAGAGTAGTAGGTCTGGTTTATATATTTTTTCAGGATTTGGTGTGCTGGCACATTATTAATGATAATGAAGCTATACAGTGCTTCATCCTGGCATGTTATTTGTCCTTCTTTTTCTCATCTAAATAGTCACTTACTGTTTAATACCCAGATCATGATTTTCCTGAACTTTTCATAGCATATCATATTTATTGTTAATATCAAATATATACTGGATCATATCTTTCCAGAGATAATATTAGAAAGGACTTTCTACCAATATTATCTAGATATTGGATGCTTTTCCCCTAAAAGTTAGAATAAAAATCAAGGAGACCTTAGGAGGAAGAACTACAGCAAATTGTTTAGCCCACTTCTAGTTTACAGTGTCACGTTTAGGTATATCATTATGAATCAGAGCTGACTGTGCACATCAGGGGCTACGAGATAAGATTCTCTTTGTAACCATTTCAATTCATTTATGTTTTCTTTCAGATCGATATGACATCAGAAAAAAGTAAGACTTTAAATAAAATTGAGTTTGTTTGAAAGCTGGCTACAATAAGAGAAGCATGGATTAAGATGCAAGCTAGTTGCCATTACTAACAACTATAATGATTATTTTTTTTATATTATCAATATTAATTATTAATATGTTTTTATAAAATCAGCTTGGCCAGTTAAATTACAAATATATCTAATTACCAATAAAATGCAATGATTGTTCATCTAAGCATTCACTTTCTTTTTGACATCCCTGTTAACCCTGCTCTAGCTGTTCTGCTTGTTTAAGAAACTCACCCTTCCGTTTTTGTCCATTTGTTAGCATAACGTTGTCATCTCATTTTTTAAAGCACTGACATGACAGTATCACTTTTTACACTGATTTCTGTAAAAAGCATATTATTTTGTAGGGTACACCTAAATTAAAAAGTGATACTGTTTAATAGTTCTCAACTGACGCTAACTCCTTACCCAGCCCTCGGTCACCTCTCTTACTGTGGTAAAGTGTAACAGACTTCCTCAGGTCCTCAGGATTGATGTAGGCATCACACAGACTATGTGTGAAAACTTTCTGAAAAGGTTTAGGAGCCAAGAATGAAACCTTCTGGATGAAATGACTAACTACAACAGTATGTTATTATAGGACTAATGATTCAAATCCCAAACACAATCTAGAAAAGAGGGAACTGGTTTTTATAGACCTTAAGAGAACTATCTGAGAATTATTTCAGATTTGTTACATTCAGTTAATAGTTTGTCAGCCTCTTTCCAATGACTGTCTGGCTTCTTGTACAGAAACTCAAGTTGTATTATATGGGTTTCTTGTTTTTATTTCCCACATGATTTAGAACACAAAAAAAATTTCTAATTTTTAACCTTTGACCATTTTAAGATTTATTCTAATTTATTGACATTCCAAAAAGGAAAAAAAAAAAAAACTTAGAGTTATATTTAATATGGTCATCTAACCCCATACAATCAAGAGATAATCATGAAGAAGTTTTATACACTAGCCTAATGTAATGTACTATGAGTTTATTATAATACTTTCAATTGAATGTCTCCATACTTTCCTGTCAAAACATCTTTCAGATTGAAATATTTGAAAATTTGACTGTGCTTATTGGTTTATATAACTGAACAAATTTTCATTCATATAAATTACTTAAATACATTTTTATGTATATGTATTCCCAACCTTTATCTTCCCAGAAATTACTGGTTCTCTCAAGAGAAGGCATTTTTGTTTATATGATATATCATTGCCTTCATTGAGTCCTCTTACAAGAGATTTTATTTTATTCTCCCACTTTCTTCTTTAAGATTATTGTGTCTAAATGGCTCTTTCATTTTCTCCTTGGATACAAACTAAACGGAATTAAAACTTAATCTTCTCATGTGCCTCAACCATTAAAGAAAAGAAGAAGGTTATCAGATTGCTATAATACCAGGGATTCTCCTGTATGACTTCTATATGTTATAAAATCAACCAAGCTTCAGATATAAACTCACGTTTGGTTTTTAGTATAAAGATATTCATTAAATCATCTTGGTCTAGGTATAAAATTATCTCTGAAAAAGCACTCATTTAGAGGGACTCTTTCTTAAAGTCTTTTAAAAAGTAAATCATAAATGACTTTGATTTTTCAACCCCACTCCCAGAAACGGCACATGCCCCCATCACTAATGCTTCAAAGACCACATATAATATCTTATATATATTGGCTTGCCAAGCAATAAAATACACTTCACCACAGTAATGTTTTGCATATTCTTTCTAATTTCTTACCATCTTCCTGCCAGTGCTTCTAAACAAGGCCCCATTCCTAGCACTTTTCCTCCACCGATGCTTTGCATGGAAATAACTTGGCTTACATAAACTGTGTGTGTGTCTTGTGTGACTGTCTCTAATTTGGGTTGCCATTCACTATATTTTAACTTTGGACTCACATATAAGTTTAATCATGATGGTCATTATTGTTGTTTTTCTTTCCTTTCCTTTATTTCCCTCCTTGGTCTGTCTGTTATATGTCTAAACAAGGAGATTGCTCCAAGGAAAGGATCATGCCTCTTTGCACAAAACTCTTTGTTTCATTGTTAGGTGTGAATTTCCCTTAGATGAAAGACCGGTGTAGAGCTGATTCAGATATATTTTCCTTAATTCTTATTATACACATTGGCAGAAATAACATGTATTCCAGATTTTTGTAAAACTAGGAAATGTGTATACATCATTAAAAGCTATTCTGTCAGTTGGCTACTACTGGCTTTCTCTTAAAGGAAATCAACGTTCTGCAATTTCTAATGCTTTTACTTTTTCCTTTTTTTCCTCATGTTTATTTTATTATTTTAGTTTTTGAACATTGATACGTAACATCTTAACAATCTTGAGATATCTCTGTGTAATTTCACTGTGTTCTTTCTTTGTTTTGATTTTTGGTGGTTTTTTGTATGTGTGTGCATTTGGGGTCTTGATTACTTGTTATAGCTTTGTTGTACGTGTGGATGTGCTATAGTGAGAAAATTAAGCAAGTTATTTCCTGCTCATTTTTCCTTTTCAGTTTTTTTTTCCGTTAGCCTTGCTTTGCTCTTGTACCCTGAGACCTTGTGGATCCACCATTCCCAGCCCATTTTGTTACCCCTCACCACGACAGGAAAAGACGATGTGTCGTTTCAGTCCTGATTACATTTGCCAATATCCTTTTTGATTTCCATTTTACTTTCAATGTTTTTACATCCACATCAAAGATGATGAGACAGAATCTACAGAAACATCTGTCCTGAAAAGTCACCTGGTAAATGAAGTTCCTGTTCTAGCAAGTCCGGATTTGCTTTCTGAAGTTTCTGAGATGAAACAAGATTTGATCAAAATGACCGCCATCTTGACCACTGACGTGTCTGATAAGGCAGGCTCTATTAAAGTGAAGGAACTGGTGAAGTCGGCTGAGGAAGAGCCAGGAGAGCCTTTTGAGATTGTTGAAAGAGTTAAAGAGGACTTAGAGAAAGTGAATGAAATCTTGAGAAGTGGAACTTGCACAAGAGATGAAGGCAGTGTGGAGAGGTCTCAGTCAGAGAGAGGGTTAGTGGAAGAGGAATGGGTTATTGTCAGTGAGGAAGAAATAGAAGAGGCTAAGCAAAAGGCACCTTTAGAAATTACAGAATATCCATGTGTAGAGATCAGATTAGGCAAAGAGGCCAAAGTAAAAGTAGAAAAAGACTCAGCTGGGTTAGTGAACTACCTTATTGATGATCTAAATTCATATGGGAGTCGTCACAAAATACAACCTCAGACAGTTCAAGATATGCCAGGAGAGAAACGTAAGGCTTCTGCTATTAGCAAGAGTTCTGAAAATAAAGGGAAAGCTGCGCCCCCAGATGAGTCACCTAGTGCACAGGAACAGCACAAACCAAGCCTGGGAATCAAGAAGCCGGTGCGAAGGAAATTAAAAGAAAAGCAGAAGCAAAAGGAGGAAAGTTTACAAACTGGTATAGATAAAGCTGAACTTAAAAAATGTAGTTCAGAGGAGTCGTTAGATGAAGACCCAGGTTTAACGCCTGAACCCCTTCCTACTGCAAAGGCCACATCTCCTTTGATAGAAGAAACTCCCATCGGTTCCATAAAGGACAAGGTCAAGGCCCTTCAAAAACGAGTGGAAGATGAGCAGAAAGGCCGAAGCAAATTGCCTGTCAGAGTCAAAGGCAAAGAGGATGTGCCAAAAAAGACCATCCACAGGACACATCCCACAGGATCACCTTCTCTGAGGGCAGAAAAGCATACACCAGCATCACCTTCCTCTAAAACAGAAAGGCACAGTTCTCTGTCCACTTCTGCAAAAACTGAAAAGCATCCTCCCATGTCATCATCAAGTAAAACTGACAGACACTCACCAGTGTCACCCTCTGCAAAAACTGAAAGGCATGCACCTGTGTCATCATCAAACAAAACTGAGAAACACTCACCTGTATCACCCTCTACAAAAGCAGACAGACATTCTCCTGGGTCACCTTCTACAAAAGCAGAAAGACATGCACCTGTATCACCTTCAGGTAAAACAGACAAACGTCCACCAGCGTCACCCTCTGGGAGAACAGAGAGACATTCACCAGTATCACCCGGAAGGACAGAGAAACGATTGCCTGTATCACCCTCTGCAAGAATGGAAAAGCATCTACCTGTCTCAACTTCTGGGAAAACTGAGAAGCACCTGGTTGTGTCACCTTCAGGCAAAACAGATAAGCAACCACCTGTCTCCCCCACCTCAAAAACAGAAAGAATTGAGGAGACAATGTCTGTTCGGGAATTGATGAAAGCCTTCCAGTCAGGTCAGGACCCATCTAAACATAAGACTGGACTCTTTGAGCACAAATCAGCAAAACAAAAGCCACCACAAGAAAAAGGCAAAGGCCGGGTAGAAAGAGAAAAGGTTCAGATGATAACCCAGAGAGACACACAGAAAATAGAGAGTCAGACAATCAAACGAGGCCAGAGATTTTTAGTAACAGGAGCCACAGACTCCAAAAGAGTGGTACGAGCTTCCTCTATCGGGTTGAAGAGAGAAGATATAGGTGCAGAAAAGGAAAAAGCTCTCAGTCACAAAACATCTGAGCCTGTTCAGTCAGCACCCCAAGAAGAAAGCCACAAAGAGAGTGAGGTCCCCAAAGAAAAGATCGCTGATGAACAAGAAGATCTCCAGATCAGCCCAGATAGGAAAACCTCCACTGACTTTTCTGATGTCATTAAGCAAGAGTTAGAGGACAATGACAAATACCAACAATTCCGCCTAAATGACGAGACTGAAAAGGCACAGCTTCACTTAGACCAAGTACTCACTAGCCCTTTCAACACAACATTTCCACTCGATTATATGAAAGATGAATTTCTTCCAGCACTGTCTTTACAGAACAATGTTTTAGATGGCAGTTCTGAAAGCTTAAAGCATGAAGGGATAGCAGATTCCCCATCTGGTAGCCTGATGGACGGGACCCCTCAGATTAGTTCCGAAGAAAGCTATAAACATGAGGGCCTAGCAGAGACTCCCGAGACAAGCCCAGAAAGTCTTTCTTTCTCACTAAAGAAAAGTGATCAACAAATTGGGGAAACAAAGGAAGCTACCAAATTAGAAACACCAACAGAAAGTCATTCAGAAAAAGAGCATCCCGCAACCAAATTCATTAGTGATGGTTCTGAAGAGCAACATGCTGCAATCCCTGAGGGCACAGATCCCTCTGTTCTAACTGAGACCATCCTAGACCCATCTGAAGACACATGCCTCAAGCAAGATTTCCCTGGCAGGGGTAGTGTATCATTAGCAGAAGAAATACCCAAAGGACCTACTGGGGAAGCTTCCCATGATGAAATTCAACTTACAAGTAGTAGCTCAGCTCATAAGACACAAACTGATACTGAGGTTCAAGAATCTACAACCACTGAACCCTCAAATGAGACAAAAACCTCATCACTGCCTGATGTGTTTGTAAAGACAGACTCAGGGACTGAATCTAAGCCTCAGGGAGCCATCAGAAGTCCCCAAGGGTTAGAACTTCCACTTCCTAGTCGTGACAGTGAAGTGCTCAGCCCTATGGCAGATGAATCATTAACAGTAAGCCACAAAGACTCTCTGGAAGCCAGTCCTGTTCTAGAAGACAACTCCTCACACAAAACTCCTGATTCTCTAGAGCCAAGTCCTCTGAAAGAATCCCCTTGCCGTGATTCTCTTGAAAACAGCCCGGTTGAAGCAAAAACGAAGGCTGGAATTCTCCCAAGTCACTTCCCCCTTCCTGCAGCCATCACCAAAGCAGAACTCTTTACAGAAGTGACCTCCATGCGCTCCCGACTGCTCCGCGACCCTGATGGCAGTGCTGAGGATGACAGTCTTGAGCAGACGTCACTTGTGGAGAGCTCAGGGAAGAGCCCCCTTTCTCCTGACACACCCAGCTCGGAAGAAATTAGCTATGAGGTCACACCCAAAGCCACAGATCAAAACACACCAAAACCAGCTGTGATTCACGAATGTGCAGAGGAGGATGACTTAGAAAATGGGGAGAAAAAGAGGTTCACCCCTGAAGAGGAAATGTTTAAAATGGTAACCAAAATCAAAATGTTTGATGAGCTGGAACAGGAAGCAAAGCAAAAGAGAGACTATAGGAAAGAACCCAAGCAGGAAGAATCTTCATCTTCTGACCCAGATGCTGACTGTTCAGCAGACTTGGATGAACCAAAGCATATGGAGGCTATAGGGGATGAAACTGATGTGCCTGTAGTAGTGACATCAGAGAGTCGCAAGGCTTCTTCCTCCTCAGAAAGTGAACCTGAGCTGACACATCTGAAAAAAGGTGCTGATTCGGGCCTATTGGAAGAACCAGTTATTCGAGTCCAACCTCCTTCACCGCTTCCATCTAGCATGGATTCTAATTCCAGTCCTGAAGAATTACACTTCCAGCCTATAGTTTCTAAACAATATACTTTCAAGATGAATGAAGACATTCCAGAAGAGCCAGGTAAATCAGCAGATGGAAAAGACTGTGAATCCCATTTGCCTGAAGATACTCATAATACATCTACTAATAGTTCAGATCTGTCTTCTGATGATCTAAACAGAGACAGTGACCAGCCTAAAATCTGTGATGGCCACGGCTGTGAGGCTATAAGCCCTAGCAGCTCAGCCACTCCGGTCTGTTCAGGTCTCCAGAGGTCAACTGTAGATGATGTCGATGAGGAGCTAATCATCCATAAAGAATCCTTAACTTTTGAAGATAGTCACAAAATAGACACAGAAGATGAAGAGCTTGATTGTTCCAAAGTGGAATCTCTACGAGTAGAATGCTCTAGTGAAAGCTCTTCATCTTTGTCCTCTTTAACTCATGGCCCAGTATCTGAAGGGAAAGAACTAGATGAAGATGTATCCTCTACACCTTCAGCTATAAAAATGGAGGTCACAAAAAATGACCAAACTTTTGAAAGCTTACCAACAGATTGTCCGACTGAAGAGGCATACAGTAGTACGCAAACAGATAGGTTATCCATGGAGATTCCAGAGTCTGGCCCGGCTGAGATTGATGAAATCTATGATACCCAAATCACAAGCCCTTATGAAAATGTTCCTTCCCAATCATTTTTCTCTAGTGAAGAAAGCAGAACCCAAACAGATGTGAGACACACCACAAGTTTTCATTCTTCTGAAATGTATTCTGTTACCATCACATCCTCTGTTGAAAACATAGTAGTGAAAAGCACCTCAAGTGAAACTGTTTCAAGCAAACAATCTAATTTTGAGAGCCAGAATATGGACACTGAATCAAAACAAGAAAGTTCTGTGTGGGAAATGCAGTCAGAAAGAGCTGCTTCATCTGTAGAGCCTACTGTGCCAAATGCTTCAACAGTGAATGGTGGACAAATAAGCAAAGTCATTATCACAAAAACTGATGTGGATTCTGATTTCTGGAGTGAAATCCGTGAAGATGATGAAGCCTTCGAGGCACGCGTGAAAGAGGAAGAGCAAAAGATATTTGGTTTGATGGTAGACAGACAATCACAGGGTACCACTCCTGACACCACCCCTGCTAGGACCCCAACAGAAGAGGGGACACCAACAAGTGAACAGAATCCATTTCTCTTTCAGGAAGGAAAGTTGTTTGAGATGACTCGAAGTGGGGCCATTGATATGACCAAAAGGTCCTATGCAGATGAAAGTTTCCACTTTTTCCAAATTGGACAAGAATCCACGGAAGATGTCCTCTCTGAAGATATGAAAGAAGGGGCCTCTAAGACTGAGCCCCCACAGCTGGGGACATCAGCTGAGTCACTAGCACTTTCAGAAACAAAAGAAACAGTAGATGATGAAGCTGACCCGAGTGAGGAAGTAGGTGAAATATCTGCCTCAGATGCTCAGCTTACTTCCCAAGTGGGGATGTCAGCTTCTCTTGAAACATCAACAAAAGAGACCACTTCTGCAGGCACTGAGGACCTCACCACCACCGTGCAAATGGGTGATGCACCTCCTGCATCCAATATGAAGCAGACATCTTGCCCTGACTCCCCTGAACCAGTTGTACAAGTACAATTAGATTTTTCCACAGTCACCAGATCTGTATATTCAGACCGGGATGATGATTCTCCTGATTCTTCCCCAGAAGAACAGAAATCTGTGATCGAAATCCCTACTGCACCCATGGAGAATGTGCCTTCTACTGAAAGCAAATCCAAAATACCTATACGGACTATACCCGTTTCAACATCAGCACCTCCATCTTCAGAGTACGAGAGTTCATTTTCTGAAGATTTTCTGCACAGTCATGATGATGAAAGTAAGGACGATGAAACAAAACCAAAGTCCAAAATCCCCGTCAAAGCACCCATCCAAAGAGCCGAGCAGCAGCTTTCAGACCTTGACTCATCTCTCCAGAGGACAGTGGCTTTTCAGGGAATAGACACGACAAGCAAAACACCAGATAGTAGAAGCAAATCTGAATCTGATGTTATTGCTTTGGACTCAAAAACCAAATCTCCAGTAAACACTAGAAGTTACACTGAGGCAGAAACAGAGAGCAGAGAGGAGGCAGGGGAGCTTGAGTTAGAATCAGAAGAAGGGGCAACAAGACCAAAGGTATTTTCATCTCGATTGCCAGTTAAGAGCAGAAACACCACATCTTCCTGCAGAGGAAGCATGAGCCCCACAAAAGAAAGTAAGGAACATTTCTTTGACCTTTACAGAAACTCCATAGAATTCTTTGAGGAGATTAGTGATGAGGCTTCCAAGTTAGTGGATAGACTTACACAATCAGAAAGGGAACAGGAATTAGTTTCAGATGATGAGAGTAGTAGCGCCCTGGAAGTTTCAGTAATTGAGAATCTACCACCGGTTGAAACCGAGCACTCAGTTCCTGAGGACATCTTTGACACAAGGCCCATTTGGGATGAGTCCATTGAGACTCTGATTGAGCGCATCCCTGATGAAAATGGCCATGACCATGTTGAAGGTATTTGCCAGCCACTGGGATTCCCTGTGCTACGCATGTCATAAATTTGATATCGTTCTTTTGTTTGTTTTATTTGGTGATTTATGTCTCATTTTCTTTAAGCTTTCTGTGGTGGTTAATGTGTTTGTTGTGTAAGCCTTTTATGTTTTGTGCTTTCTTTGTATAATCTTGTCTATGAAAACAATCTCAAGATTGAGTAATGAGAATGCTTATGGAAAAACATAAACATGATAAACCGGCAATGTGATCTTGCCTTTTTCTAGCCACTGCACGTGAGGCCATGCAAGCTTTGAGTTTTGTTGTTCTGAAGTCCAGGCTTAACTTAAGTTAAGCACTTTTGTTTATGCACATGAATGTATTGACTTTTTTTCCCCATAGGATGAGGATTCATTGCTTTTTCATCTTTTGCAAACTTTAATTAGTATTTGCAATTTTGTAATCATTAGGAAGCCATTTGCTTGAGAAGATTTCACATATCATAAAATTCCAATTGTTGTGGATCTGTTTTTGATTCAGAAAGGTTGAATTTCAGATACCATTGGTAAACACTTTAAACAAACAAACATAAGGTAAAAAATATGTTTGTCGTTTATGTGGTAGATGTATGGAGAGTGTATTCTAATTAGATGCTGCAGACAACAAAAACTCAAACTTTGCACGATTTTAATTGACTGTGAAGGGATGATTGCCCTTTGAATTCTAAACAAGAAAACCATAGACGACTTTGAAAAGTAGTCTCTGGTCTTCCAATATCTCTACAGTAAAGACTATTTTTATTAAATTTCCATTATCAAAAAATTACATGATGCTGTGATCTAAAATGCTGCCCATTAGTCATTGTAGGTATAAAGATTGTAATTTATAGAAGCTAGTAATAGTCTATCTGTTATCAAGAAGGCAGAAACTTTACCCCAAAGAAATAAATGTATATAGATTGATATATACATAATATAGCATACACAAAGAAATGTGAGAGGATTTCAAAAATTTCATGGAAAAAATCCAGTATCTTTTCATTCTATTTTTGCTTGAACTTTTTGAAGATCACTCCTATACAAAATTGTATCCTCCCTGCCTCCCAAACCAGGAGAATCAGGACAATTATTGTTTCTGCCAACCATGACTAAGTCTTGATAGACTTGATTAACCCATGATCTACGCCTCTGATGAATATTGGAAATTATTTCTTTCAGACATATCCTGGAAGTGATATGCTCTCCGTGGGCAAAAAATGGGAGAGCATAGAAAGCTATTTCACTTCTGTACTCCATCTAGGATTTCTCTAGCATTTGATGAGCCAGAGATTATCTTCTGGTGGGCAGTATTCACTCTGTATCCTTAAGAGGAAATTCCTAAGCTTATTAGGAATCTGAGATTTATGATAAGTAACTAAAAGCAAACAACCAAACCTATTACCGTTGAGTTCATTTCAACTCATGCTAGTCTTGATTAAAGAGATATGGAAGCAAATGGTTTTCATGATTCATATGAAGTTTATTCCCCATTCCATGCCAGAAATTAGGCAAACACACAGCTTAAATATGACCTAAAATATAACATAATTTGTACTACTAAGAAATATTTGGTTTGGACACGTGACTTCGTTTCTTTGGATGAATCAGTACCATGGTCCTGTCATAGACAACCTTTGGCATTCTGTTTTTTGACCTTCTGTAGATCCACAGGATGAGCAGGAACGAATCGAGGAAAGACTGGCCTATATTGCTGATCACCTTGGCTTCAGCTGGACAGGTAAAATGAGTGTGAGCCATTTTCCCAACAAAACCAGCCTGGTTTAAAATATCTTGAACAATGAAAAAGGCTGTTTTTTTGTTTTGTTTTGTTTTGTTTCCATTTTGGGGAGAAGACACATGGAATTATGAAACAAATAGTAAAGTATAGATTAGAAAACTCAGTCTGCATTGACTAATGATATGGCCCATTTCAAGTCTTTCAGTATCTCTGGAATTTAAAATAATAGAACTTCAGATGTGAACATTTTGAGAAGGCATCATTCCTCACCAGCCCCCTTTGAAATTATTTATGTCTAAACTTTGGAATGTAATTGTGTTACAGAACAATTTTTGGTATTATTTCCTAGGACTGTGATACATTTAATTAATTAGGAATTTCACAAGGGCTTCTTATTTTGCATAACCAATATCAGAAATCATCATGTATAAAGAATGTTAAAGTGCTTTTAGTGGCTGTTGAAACATATAATAATGAAATGCTTACTAATTTTTTCAGAAATGAGAATATTTAAGTAAAGAAGTTCTAAAATATGACAGACCATTTAGTCCATTGAGATGAATTATTAGATAAATATGGCTTATTTTCAAATCAGGAGTCATGGTGTGGAACAGTGGGTTAATGCGCTGGACTGCAAGGTTGGTTTGAACTGCGAGGTTGGCTGTTCAAACTCACCAGCTACTCCTCAGAAGCCCTATAGAGGGTTGCTATGAGTCAAAGCTGACTTGATGGCACTTAGCAACAACAACAAAAACAACAAACATTTACAAATCATGAATGAAAGGTTTTGTAACACTGTAGAATCAGCCCTGGACTGCAAACTGCGAAGTCAGCAGTTGAACCCCACCAGCTGCTTCTCAGAAACCCTATAGAGGCTCGCTATGAGTTGGAACTGACACACTATGGCACTTAACAACAGCATTCCATTATCTTAGCTGTGGTTTAACATGTTAAAATAGGCTTGCCAATCTGACTACCTATATATAACTTGTTACTACTTCAGTGAGGCAAGTAGTATCAAGTTAACAAACACTTTTCTCTCCTTAGTTTCTAAAAGATTTAGTGATGAATGTTGTTGTTGTTAAGTGCCATCGAGTTGGTTCTGACCCATAGCGACCCGGTACAAGGTTTCCTAGGAGCAACTGGTAAGATTGAACGCTCAACCTTGTGGTTCAAACTGACTTTGAAGCCAAGCACATTAACCCACAGTGCCACACCAGGACTAGGAACAATTTAATATTCTAATGTATGAGTGTGCTATATTTTTATTAATGGTCTTTATTATTGATGGCTTCTTAGGTTGTTTCCTATCATTAGATATGAGTGTCCTTATCCACTGGCATATTTTGTGAATATGTCTATAGAGCATATTATTAGAAATAGAATTTTTGTATGGAAGAATAATATATACCTCATTTGGAAAGATATTGTCAAATTGACTTGTAAAAAGATCATCTCATTTGTACACACACCACAGTGTATAAACATCCATATAGACTTTTAATGATATCAAAAAGGAAGAATTTTGTGGCTGCTTCCCAAGCCAGATAGTGCTTTCCTAACCTTTTTATTTGTGTGGCAACAAATTAAAGAAAGATAGAATTTCTCCAACCACTATAGTATAGTAAAATGCAATATTTTTTCCAAGTATCCAGAAACAGGACTTTTAAAAAAAAATGCCACTTAACACAATTAAAAGTAAGGAATTGTCTGTTCTTCCTGTTTCCAGACATCACCAAGTTTTGTGTTATCATTTGTCGTGGAATAAGAATATATGCTAATACTGATAGTCTTTTGCATTTTGGAATACATGTCCTGAATTATAGTTACTCTGTCATCACTGCATCTTCTTACTCTCTCTGCTCTGGTAATGATTGACTTTATTATACTCAGTAAACCTCCCAAAACAGTGCTAAAATAACAAAGACATATATAAGTAGAAAGAAGATAAAAAGAATTCCATTATCCACAGCCACACAAAGAGAACATCATCTACAAAATCACAAAACAAGGGTTAGAGACTTCCATTTTGAAGTTAATGTGTTTATAGAGTATTATTTGTTTGTTTGTTTGTATTTTTCTTCTAGAATTAGCAAGAGAACTAGATTTCACTGAGGAGCAAATTCATCAAATTCGAATTGAGAACCCCAACTCCCTCCAAGACCAGAGTCATGCACTGTTGAAGTACTGGCTAGAAAGAGATGGAAAACATGCTACAGGTAGGTGGAAAAGTAAATGTAAAAAGTGCTACACTAATGAAATATCTTGTTCATTAATGACATTGTTGCAAATTCAGAAAAGAAAACTATACATCAGTCTGGAGTAAAACTATGACAATTAAGGAAAGCTTTAGACATTTAAAAAATATACATGTTTCATGAAAAATGTAATAAAAGGAATGCTATCAAATTCCTAAAATATTCTAAATATGACAATGAACAAAATTGCTTAAATTGACTTATGGACAGTTGATTGTCCTCAACTCCTGCTTCCATTGTTGCTGTTGTTGTTAGGTGGCATCAAGTCAGTTCTGGTTCATAGTAACCCTGTGCACAACAGAATGAAACACTGCCCAATCCTGCACCATCCTCACAGTTATTATTACATTTAAGTCTATTGCTGCTGCTGCTACTGTGTCCATTCCTCTTATTGAGAGAAGTCCTCTTTTTTGCTGTTCTCCACTTTACCAAGCATGATGTCTTTCTCCACGGACTGGTGTCTCTCAATAATAATGTCTGAAGTATGAGAGACAAAGTCTCACCATCCTGACTGACTTTTAAGGAGCCTTCTGACTGCACTTCTTCCAGCATATATTTGTTTATTCTAGCAATCTATGGTACTTTCAATATTCTTCTCAAACCCCATAATTCAAATGCAACAATTTGTCTATGGTCTTCCTTATTCTTTGTCCAGCTTTCTCATGGACATAAAGCATTTGAAAATACTGTGGTTTGGGCCAGGCACACATTAAGCTTCAAACTGACATCCATGCTCTTCAATACTTTTGCAACAGACTTGCCCAATATAATGTGTCATTTGTTTTCTTGACTGCTGCTTCCATGAGTGTTGATTGTGGATCTAAGCAAAACGAAGTATTTGACAACTTCAGTCTTTTCTCCATTTATCTTTATTGGTCCTATTATGAAGATTTTTGTCTTCTTTACATTGAGGTGCAATCCATACTGAAGACTGTAGCCTTTAATCTTCATCAGTAACTATTTTAAGTCCTCTTCACTTTCAGCAAGCAAGGTTGCATCATCTGCATATTGCAGGTTGTTAATGAGTCTTCCTCAAATCCTGATGCCACATTTTTCTTCATATAACCCAGTTTCTCAGATTATTTGCTCAGCACACACATTGAATAATACAGTGAAAGCTACTACTCTGGTGCACACCTTTCCTAATTTTAAACCATGCAATACTCCCTTGTTCTGTTCCAACAACTGCCTGTTGGTATATGTACAGGTTCTTTATGAGCACAATTATGTCTTCTGGAATACTCATTCTTCTCACTGTTTGTCATGATACACACAGTCAAAAGCCTTTGTAGAGTCAATAAAGCATAAGTCACCAATTGTCTGGTATACTCTACCTTTGGCCAAGATCCATCTGACATTAGCAATGATATTCCTAGTTCTCTGTCCTCTTCTGAATCCATTTTGAATTTCTGGCAATTCCCTGTTGGAGTACTCTTGTAACTATTTTTAAATTATCTTCAGAAAAATTTTATTTCCATGTGGTGTTAATGATATTGTTTGATGATTTGTACATTCCTTTGGATCATCTTTCTTTGAAATGGGTACAAATATGGATTTCTTTTAGTCGTTTGGCCAGGTAACTGTCTTCCAAACTTTTTGGTATAGATGAGTGAGTACCTCCAGTGCTTCATCTTTGTATTCTGCCAATTCCCAGAATCTTGTTTTATACCAATGCATTCAGTGCCTCTTAGACATTTTCTTTCTGTACCGTCAGCTCTTGGTCATATACCTTCAACCTCTTGAAATGGTTGAACATCGACTTTCTTTTTGGTACAATGACTGAGTATGCCTTCTAGCTTCTTTTAATCCTTTCTGCATCATTCAATACTTTGCCCATAAAATCCTTCAACATCTCAAGTCAAGGCTTGAATTTTTGTTTCAATTCTTTCAGCTTGAGAAATGTTGAGTGTTTTTCCCTTTGCGTTTTCCAACTCTGGGTCTTTGCACATTTCATTGTAATATTTGACTTTATCTTCTGGAGCTGCCTTTGAAAATGTTTGTTCCACTATATTATTTCCTTATTTCTTCCATTTCTTTTAGCTTTTCTAGGTTGTTGTTCTGAAGTGCTGTCGAGTCAATTCTGACACATAGCAATCCGACTTAGGGTTTTCAAGGAGCAGTTGGTGAGCTTGAACCTCTGACCTTGTGGTTCAAATGCCTTTGCAGTCCAGCACATTAGCCCACAGTACTACATCATGCTCAAGAGCAAGTGTCAGTCTCCTCTGACATCCATTCTTATCTTTTTTTCTTTCCTGTCTTTGTTGACCTTTTTCTATTTCCTGAATACTGTTCTTAATTCCATCCCACTACTCTTCTGTTCTTTGGTCATTAGTGTATAATGTATCAACTCTGTTATTTAGATCGTTTCTAAGTTCATGGTCATATTTCGGTTCTTATGGGTTTGTTTTAATTTTCTTCAGTTTCAGCCTGAACTTGCATATGAACAATATATGGTCTGTTCTGCAATCTGTCCCTGGCCTTGTTTTGACTGATGATAGGGGGCTTTTCCACCATGTCTTTCCACAGATATAGTCAATTTTATTCCTGTGCATTAATGGATGTTTGTATCTTTTTCTCTTCATTTTGAGTTGTTCCCCATCAGCAAATGAACTTCCCCAAACTTTACTCCATTCATGTCATTATTGTCAACTCTGCTTTGAGTAGGCAGCCCTTCCCCAGACTTATTTTGAGTATCTTACAACCAATTATCTTTCCTATATTGACACTATATCTTACAGTGTTCTGCTCTATTCATAACATTTTCATCTTCCAGTACTCTGGCAATGTTCCTCTACTATTCATAAGGTTTTCTGTGGCTAACCATAGTGCCTCTCCATCTCTGGAGTCTGAGTCTGGAAGCTCTGCTATCAGCTGTCCACCATGGATGACCCTGCTGGTATATAAAATACTGGTGGAATAGCTTCCAGCATCAGAGCAACCTGCAAGCCACCACAGTACAACAAACTGACAGATGGGTGGTGAATACTTCCTTTCCTCCTAAGCAATTTAAGTGGGAAAAATGTTAAGGCAATACGTCATATACTGATTTATGTGTGGTACTCTGACAACTTTTAATAAAATGGGAAATGTTACAAACCATATTGTCTTATCCTGCTGCTAGTTTGAATTTGTCACTCCCTTTCATTTCTCTGAAATTCTACCTGGTTGTTGTTGTTGTTAAGAGATGTAGAGTTGGCTATGACCCACAGTGACCCTGTATAGGGTTTCCTAGGAGCAGCTGGTGAACTTGAACTGCCACTTTGTGGTTCAAACCAACTTTGCAGTCCAGTGCATTAACCCATAGCGCCACACTGGGACTAGAGATTCCCTTAATTTGCACTCAGTTCATACTTAATATTTCTTCTCTTTACATTCTTCTAGGTAGGATTGTCAAATTTTGCAAACAAAAATGCTGGAAATTCAGTTAAACTTGAATTTCAGATATAAATAAGCATGTTTTAGTATACCTTTTTGGTATAATTACAAAAAAAAAATATTTTGCTTGTTTGTTTCTTTATATGAAAACTAAACTTAAATTCAGTTGAGTGTTTTATATGTTATCTGGCAACCCACCATTTTTTGTGCATGTCTGTTTATGTGTTTATTTTTAACAAGGCCTTTAATTGGACTCTGGTTGTTTTCTGTATACGATATCAAAGGTTTAGTAAGATATCTAAATAAAGGGAATATTTAAAGGAGTAGCTTTTACATGCATACATTTTTGGGTTTTTTGCCCTATTTTCCAAGATACCAGCCTTATTGAATGCCTCACCAAGATCAACCGAATGGATATTGTTCATCTCATGGAGGCCAGCACGGAACCTGTCCAGGAGCGCATCATTCATAGCTATGCAGAAATTGAACAGACCATTACACTGGATCATAGTGAAGGTCAGCTGCTCTGTGTCTCTGTGTGTGATTCACTCTTCTTTTTTATTGTTTTAAATAGGATTTAAAAATAGGTTTTTGGTGATCATTTATATTCTTTCCCTCAATATACTGCAACTTCCCAATCTATTTCCTTGGCTACCACCACCACTATTCATTCTTTGTCATTTCACCATCAACATGGATGGTCCGCCTCTGTTTCTTGGTTGCACCTCTGCTGCTTGCATTTGCTGCTCTATTTTTAGCTAGCCCTTTTCTCTGCTGACAACCAATATATCATTACCAATAATTTCACTATGATTATTCCCAAGTCTTAGTTTTACACATTATATGTATTCCCACGTTTGCTTCTACACCAAAAAGTATTTAAGTCCACTGGCACATTCAGCCATTAGCTCGCCCACTTATTATTTACTATTAAGATTTCTCAAAACATTTCTCATACATTTGAGCTCTCTCTCATGTTTATTTTACATATTATTTTCTTTCCTTCTAACTTCCGGTAGTTCTTTTTTTCTGGATTTATTGTCAGCTGACCAAGCTTCATATTGTTTAGAAAATTAGAAAAAATCAGATATAAACTTTCATATCTTCCTACCACAAAATCTAAACACCTAAATCTCAGTGTTTATATTCTGCTTTAAAAGGACCGCTAATGGAATCCTGGTGTGGCGCTGTGCGTGAATGCACCAGACAGCAAAGCAGTTTGAACAGCATGGTTGGTGGTCCAAGCTCACCATCCGTTCCTCGGATGTGTTGGAACCTAGTCTATTGCACTTAACATCAACAACAACAGTGGTGTAATAGGTTAAACATTGGGCTAAACATTGGGTAAAACATTTGGTTACACAAGGTCTGAAGTTGAAACTCATTAGCTACTCTTTAAGAGAAAAAGGAAGCAATCTACTCCCATAAAGATGTAGAGTCTCTGAAGCCCTTCTACTC